CTAATTTTGATTCTTTGCATCAAACAACTCTTATCTATACATTTCAAAAAAAAAAAAAAAGTGACGAAAAATAAAAATTTGACGCACACTAAAAAAATGATGAAATTTTAAAAAAAAGTGACAAATTAAAAAGTGACAAACACTCAAAAAAATGACATACACTAAAAAAAAGTGTCACGGTTTTAAAAAAAAAGTGACAAACAATAAAAAAACAGAAATTAAAAAAAAGACATACGTCACTTTTTTTAGAAAAAATAACTTTTGATTTATTTAATGACTATGTTTCTTCACTCTTTGGGTGAGGTTTTTGTTATCTTATCGAAGTATTCACGACACATTTTGTAATACATCTTTCAAATTTTAAATTAATAAATGATTAGTTCATAATTACAAGTCGAAAATGGCCACAAGGAATGAACTTAATAATCATGGTTTAAACTTCATAAATTTTTACACTGATATCAATTAGGAGAAATGAAAAAGAAAAATTAATAATCATAGTTTTACATAATAATTTATGTAAGATAATTTTTTATTTTTAAATATCATCAATAACATATTTACCATGATCGCGTTGCAAGCTTCTAACAAATTTTTGAATCGCTCAAAATGGATGATTGTAGTGTAAAATACAATATCAAACGAAAATATGTTAATAATAAAAATTTTAAGAAGAGAAAAAAATTTAGACAGGAGGGAATGGTTTATCCGCCTATGTTTCCGGATGGATTTGAGCACGGCGTAACTAATACTGTAATTAGATATATAATTAAATTTAAGTGTAGTATTCTAATTACATCTTTTTTTACCGTAATTGACCTAATTATCCCTTACTGAAATACCGTAACCAACCCACCTAACGCCCATACCTACATGCACCAACTCTAGGTTGATCCAGTCCATTAAGGCCCATTAATTTGTAAGGCCCAAAACTATGTCTATCTTGGTAACCATTTCCTTGTTCAGTCATTCCCTAGATTCTTCAACGCCTGCTCCATTTTTCCTCTGCCTTTACTGCATTTTCTCTTTCAATTGGCTTCTTCAACTAGCTCGTGCAATCAATGGCTGAAGTTGAAGACTCAAATTCCCCGTCCCTATCTGAGGTAATTCCTCTTTCTATATTCGCATTTAATTTTTATTTTTCTTATTATTTTCTGGTTTCTTTTCTTTTTTGTATATTGTTATTGTATTATTTTCCGTGAAATTATATTATTAATATCTGAGTTTCACCTTCTATCAGATTAGATGTTTCCGGAACAATTTTGGTTAAATGTAATTGAATATTTTCGAACTTAAATTCAAAGGAACTAATCTGTAAAATCGAACGCATCATGGGTAAATAAATAAATAAATTTCTCGTCTTATGATGTATCATTAGGGTTTTATAATCAAGCACACTCGCGTTGGGTTTGTAATCTGGGCGCTTCATATATTTGAGCTGTGTTAGAACTTTATCATATTTTAGGCTGGTCAAATATCAGTAGATAATATAAAAGAAACTCTTGCAATTTTAAGCTCACCAAAACTCGCTAAAATATAGGTCTTGATTGCCTCACTTACACCTTATATGGGTTTTGGCTAAATAGGAACAGGATTGAAGACGTCTCTGGTACAACAGGTAAATCACAAAAATAAAATAAAAAAATTCCCCCTTGGAGGAGGGGAGAGGCTTTATAAATTGACAAAAGAAACTTATATGTACTTGGAGAAGTTCAAGTTCCTGTCCCTTTATAAATAAGGACAATTTGCTATTCATTTTAGACATTGAAAATGAAAGTTATGCTTACACATGTTTGGTGACATTGGTCGTCATAAATTCTTATTCTACATGTTATACGATTATGAATAACTAAGTAAAACTAGTGCTAGTTCCCTTTGTTCGGTAAAAAGAAATCTTTCTTATAACTTCTACTGTTCCTAAACTAAGCTTGCTTGTGAGCTTTTGCTTTCCATGTCAGAAATGATGATGAGTGGTGGTTTTTTCTTTTAACTATATGGCACAAGTCGCAAATGTCATTATCATATTTTTGGATTGCGACAGATGAACTAAACCTGTGTTATTTTTTTCATGATCTTATTCGGTAGGCTTTCAGAAGTCTGCAGCATGATAGGTATCAAATGTTACATGTTGAGGCTGTTCAAATTTTATTCGGTTATCTTAAACCCCAAAAATGGATTATTTAGTTTCTACCATGTCAGGATTTTTGAAGTGGATTATAAGAAAACAAATATTTGGAACTTGTCCGGTGAACAGTCTCTTGGTATCACTTGTGGAACTAGCTTAAGAAGTTACCCTTTGCATTCTCTACCACTTATTTCCTTGTGATTCTGGGGTAATAATGTATAAAACCATGTAAATATATGCATTTCATGCGTCAAGAGTTGATTTGAAGTGTATTGTATCAAAGCTTTCAGCACTTGAGTTTTATTAGACTATTAGTTATATAGTATCGTTTACCAGATGCAAGAGTCAGTTCAATCCTAGAATTAGTGGTATTTGTGTGACTAAATTTATGCTTGAGTTCTAACTACTGTAAAATCTCCCTATTTATTTATGATACATTGATGAAATGAGAATCATTTACAGATTACAAAGGCACCTCATGCACTATATTGTTATTCTTCCCTACTAACGCCTTCTCTCATTTTTCTTTCTGAATGCCGTGTTAACTTCTTCTCAGGTTTCCCAAATATTTAATTGGAATTTATACTAAGTGCAAGTTTGTCATTGACATTAATTTTTAGTATCACTCATTTTTTAATATTGTATTCTGCATAATTTTTTATTAGTATCTGATATACAACTTCTTCATTATAAATAAGAATCGAGGAAATGCAATTTTGTGACAGATTAAACATTATGTTTCAGAAGTTGCATGTGATATTGTTCACATAGCTGTTGAAGTTTTTGCTACAACTAACCTTTTTTCTGCAATAAATGGCCTAAAACTTTTTGATCGCCAGTCAGACTGTCTAATAGTAACTTATAGTTTTATATGGAAAATTTATAGCCTGTTTGAGCCCCATTTTTTGACAAAAAATACATTTTGGAATAGTGATTTGATTGAGAATGTGTGGTTAAAAATGAGAAAAAAATTTGGGTTTGCGTATAATATTAGTTTATTAAAAAAAGTATGGTTGAAAATAAGATAGAGGAAAATGTATTTTGGAAATAATGGATACCAAACAATGGCTTAATTACAAAAGTTGTTATACACTTATTTTATATTTTTAGTGTACTTCCATCAATCAGGCTAATCAAACATGCAAGGTTATGGACTAAATTTTCTCTGTCAGAAATTATTGGCACTTTTGAATCCTTTAAACAGTTTTATCATATGTATAATTCATAAATAGGAAAAATGGAATACATATGGAAGGCGGTAAATGGTAGTTACAAAATAACCAGGACCGAATTGTTTCAATGATTCGGTTCAATCATTTATAAAGGGGAATTGGTGACAATGTCACTTATAATGTTATGGGCATTGGTTTAAATGAAAAATCGAGTTCAGAGTTGGCGTGATCAAAGAATGCCTTTCAGATTTCAAGGAAACGTCTTCCACTTTTCAAGAAGGCAAGTCCTCATATGAACAAATGTTCCATTGAATATGGAACAACATATACATCAGTTGAACCAATTGACCTGTGGTTATGCAATGTGCATTTTCGTCTTTTAATCATGCGTTCTATTCTTAGAGTTGACAGTAATGTTCCCAGAGATGTTGGAACATGGACCATTAATTCTAAAAAAACTTGTCTTATGAGAAGCCATTTGTCTTTGCATATGGTGGAAGGAAGTTAATGAAGATTGAGACACAAGCAATCTAATAAAATTAGTTTAAGATCTTCACATTATTCACCTTTTATTATTCAGCTCGACCTTTGTCCAGCCCAAGAAACCTTTGCACTTCTCAGTTACATTTTTTATGATTTAGATTATTCTTCTAGAATTCCCACGACACCGAAAGGCAACAAATAATTCTGGAGAGGGTCTTCCATCAATATAACTGGCATAAGTTCTGTCTACCTTACTTTAAGCTTCCATGTCCTTGATGGCATTACAAATCATGTAGCAGATTTCTGAACTAATATTGTCCCTAGTGACCCCCATTATATGTGAACTTTTTTATTTTTCTTGGTTCTAATGATTACTGAAGAGCTATAGAGATGAGAACATTGAAAAACCTAACTTTTCAAGAGAAAGACTTTAAAAATGATAAAAGTTAAATCTGATTCATTGTGGTTTGAATTGGTTTTTCTTGTTTTCACTGGACTAATTACAGCATACTAATTGTCATTTTTGTTGAATAGCAATATTTACTGAAGGAGAATGAGGCGAAAGTAGAAATTGCTGCAAAATCTGTGGAAGAAACTGGGGATAAATCCTCAGTAAATGCTGTTGCTGAGGAAGTTGTTGCGAAAACAGAGGAAACCCCAGTTTCTGTTGATAGTGAAGTTTCCCCTGATGCTGCTGAGGATAGTGGCAAAGACTCTGATAGTGATGCTGGAGAAAGCAAGGAAACCATTCCTATTGATGAAGCCACTGGTGAGGTCAATCCAACTGCCAGTGAAGAAAGCACTGACAGTGCTGAACCTGAGGATGCGGGTGAACAAGAAGCTGAAGAGACTCCAGAGATCAAGGTTAGTTTGACTAGACATCAATTACGGGCCTTTTTACGTTCGTGGACTACTTGTCGTGTTCGCTTTATTGATTTATACTTTCTGTTGCTCTTCTCCTTGTGGTACCAGCTTGAGACGGCACCAGCTGATTTTCGTTTCCCTACGACAAATCAAACCAGGCACTGCTTCACTCGATATATTGAATACCACAGGTGGGTTAGACTAGTTGTGATGGTACCTTATTTTAGCAATTTATGATCAATATTGCCTTTAACTTCTCTACTAAATGGTCTTCTTCTTAGATGTGTTGCTGCAAAGGGTGAAGATGCTTCTGAGTGTAACAAGTTTGCCAAATATTACCGTTCCCTTTGTCCGGGTGAATGGGTATGTTTCATTTATTACATTGCAAAGAAAAGAGATTTTCTATGTTCCTTTTGTCTTGATAGCAATGAATAACCCAGGGGAAAGTGAAGGAAGGGGATGGACGTGTATGGGATTTTAATGGTACAAGTTACTGTGTATAATTAATACATAAGGAAAATGCAGCGGCTCACTTGCAATGATTTGATAACATATTTATATTTTAGCAAGGGGTATTCAGTAGTGCTAATTATGTTTAACCAACACCTTGGGAAGTCTAGCAAGCCTTAATTCCTATTGGACCTATACTTCATTGGAAATTTTTAGATTATGAACATTCTCATTTAGGTTACTATGTCTTCTGTAATAGGAAAATCTTCATTTTTCTTCAGAGAGCTAAATTTTCTCTTGTTGCACCCTCACTGTTGCAAATACCATGTTTGCTCTCTTCTTCAGTTTCTTCCTGCCAATTTTCTTCTCTTAGAAGAGCTCTTGTAGCTTGTCTGACTGGCAGGGTGGCTGCTGTTTTTTCTTCTTCTTTTACTTTATTTTTCTGGCTGACGCAATCACTTCTGTCCTCGTAGTTGGACTGATGTCACTTCTTACTTGCTTCATAATTTCGTCTTGAGCCATTTCATTTTTTTGACTTCTGAAATGCTAATAATTTCCTAAAGCCAAGGCGAAACTAAGTACTGAGGTGGTTTTTCTTTATGA